TACCCACACCCACACCCCACACCCACATCCACACTCATACCCACACCCCACACCCACACCCTCGGACTGTGTGCCTATTATTAAACAGAGTGTTGTGCGCCCACAATGACGGATACACAGGACACCCACACTTACTATGTTTAGATCTGCCATAGCCAAGTCTAAAATTCTTTATTTTGAATGAGTTCTACTTCCTTTTATTAATTAATTGAAAATGATCATATTCTAGACCAAAAACCGATTCCGAACGCTCAAGTCTGTAAATGCCTAGCATCATCGTATAGCTGTACATCAAAGTATTCTTTGTTATAGACAGATTCATTGTCGTTCGGCAGTATTCTGATCAGTGTTTCATGTCGTATACAATGTAAAAGATGCTTTTTAAGAGTGAAAAAATATTTATTTGTACTTTACAGCTAGTAAAAGAATTATTCAGCACATGAAGACATTTTTTTGTCGTTTTCTTCATCAAATATATTATCAAAGAAAAGTAAATCTTACGTGAAATTATCGTTTTAAGAACTTAATAATTTGGTTTTTTTTTGCTTCATTCGACATTCTATGCAGTTCTTTCCTCATAGATACATGTAGCGAAACGGGATGCTTTTTTAGATTCAATAAAATTTAAATCAATATCATTGTATTCATTTCTTTGAACCTTGCTACTTGCATGTCCAGTTACATGCTGAATCAATAGTGAATAAATAACATCTTTCAATGGACCAGCATAGTAATATTCACATTTTGCCAAGAGATGATCTTGCTCTTGAATTAACCATAAATTTTCACTTGAACTAGGATCTAATATAAGATCATTCAATATTGTTTGAACTTGTTCGGATGAAATAAGAGATGATTGAGAAAGATGAAGAAGTATTTTAACTGTAACATATCGAACATTTATTGATTTTGATTTTAAATACGATAATAAAAGATTTAAAACGACTTTCTCATCTTTAATAGAATGAATGCGTGTTATACATTTATAACAAGTATTTTGAACATATGGATCATCACGTACAGCTTCAATAAACATCTCACATATATCGACTGTTAACTCACCCAAGAGCGATAGAATTGTTAAGCAAGCAGCACGTTGTGGAAAATTATGTTGTTTACTCGCATAAAACAATGCACATTTAAAATTATCTCCATCGCTCCAATCTTTGATAAAAGCACAAAATTCTATTGGTATACGTACAGCGATTAAACTAGCAATGTTCACATATGGAGGATATCCGTAAGCTAAATAAAAACCTGTATCTGCCATTTGTAATGCTCTATTAGTCAAGTCGCGTATGCTATTGTATAATTCAGCCATAAAGATTGACAAAAGAGTACGGTGTTCTACGATAAACTTTACGATAGCATTTTCACGATTTTGTTGAATATCATAAAGATATACGAATGCAGTCGATTCAATCAATGCATGATAACACTGCATACGATCAAGATCAATCATTTCAAGTAGAAATGACGTATCTTGGAGAACACGACCAAATCCTGTACGAGCTGCTTTTGAAATATCATGACAGTCGTGTCTTAACAAAGTACAAAATAAATCCAAATCATCTTGATCAAATGCGATGTTGTATATAGATGCACAATGGGAGTAACTTGAAATTAGGGCACTCAAAACATTGTTAGAATAAGTAGAATTCTCATCACATATGCTGCTCATTACGAATATAATTTTTTCAAATAACATTTTATATGTTTGTTCATCACATATATAACCAAGAGCATACGCTACTGCTTGACGAATTTCATTGTTGTCAGATATATCGAATAAATTCATAAGAGCAGTAACTGCTATTTGCCGTGTTTCATTATTATGATTCAGTAAGTTGTCTGAAGTCAAAAGTACTGAAACAACAAATTGAGTATGACTTTCCAAAACTTCATTTGATGTTGTGTGTTCATCAATTGCTAAGAATGAAGATAAATTCGAAGCAATCATATCACACATATATATTACCAAATCACCAGAAAGTCGAAACAAATTAATATAGGTGCATGCGTTTATCGCGATATCAGTTGAAAAAAATGAAGCTACAACAGAACTTCTCGATGATTTTAACTTGCTGAAGGAATATTCCTTATTGATCAATGCATGGATTCTGTATCTTTCTAACCAAAGTAATGTTTCTAGATGAGATTGAATGTCTAGAGTTATATTTGTGAACAATCGAATTAATTTAAGTTTGGAAGATGCTGAAGTTAATTGATAATGAACTTTTCTCTTAAGTAAAGTTAACAAAACATCAATGCCCAATTTTGAACTAGTTCGAACATCATGTTCATTTCGTGATTGAAATGTAATTTCAGCTCTCTGACGAAAACGATCATTATCACTATATAAAAGATCACATACAATTATTGTAGCTTCGACAGACCATATATCAGAATTAATTATAAGAAGTGCAGCATGATAGACAAAACAAGAGAATTCATTTGAGTCTTTCCATTTCAACCAAGATTCTAACAAATGAGATGCTTTTAATTCTACCCAATTCATACGATGAAGAGCATTGCTTAAGATAATACAAAGCTTTTCGTACTGATTATATTGATTTGTTAACGAAATAAAGGAAAGAATATGAGTGATTGTTGATGCTTGTACTTCTGTCAAGATACAATTTTCGAATTGAAATAGCTTTGTTATAATTGATTCATCAATGATTAATTGACGATTATCCATTTTAATACATTCATGAAAATCATTAGCTAATTCCATAAGATACAAATTAGAAATAAATAATGAAAACGATACATTTTCATGTGAACCAATATTAAAATATTTCTTCAAGAAAGAAGATTTATTATGTATTATTCTATTTTGGTCTTGTAAACTATATGAGAAACGATTCGTAATTGACGAAAACGTGTAAGTCAATTGCATGTATGGTAATAATGCTTCAATAACTGCTTGTTGATCTCGTTGATCTGTATCGGTAAGTTTATCAAAGAGATTCTGAAGACAATCATCAATTGCTTGTGAATGTTGAAGTAGAGGTAAACATCGAATAACAATAGCTGTTTGTAATAGAAGAGGCAGATTTGAATAAATTTCATTGAACTGATGCTCAATTTCCTTTTGTAGAGATCTATCTCTACCTACTTTAATTCGATGATAATCAGAATGTGAATAAAAAGCAATGACACATAATGCATCGAGACGAGCAAGTTTGTTCTGAATTGACATAGCACCATTTATACTTTGTTCTAATAAAAATAATTTTCTTTCATCTTCAGTCCAACGACAAATACGTGCTAAAGAGATTGATGCGGAATAAAGCTTTACATTTCTTTGATCATTTTCAATTGAAGCATTTTGAAGTCTTTCATATTCTTGTTCAATATTATTTTGTATTATTGTTTTCCATTCTTCATCTGTTAAATAAGATCCTTGAAAAGGATCCTCACGTGTATCCGTATACTGGTCAGTTTCATGATTCATTGAATGTTTTCGTTTTTTCTCAAAATTATCCAAAGTATCGGAGTCTTTTAAAGCTAACGTCCACAAAAGACTACTACCAAAATTTTCTAATTGCTGCATTTGAAGCCAAGGTAGTAGGGCAATTGAAGCGACTCGAATCGATAATCTCTTGCACGATGGATTTGATAGAAATATTAAACATTCAGTCAGAATGTGACCAAAATAAAGATGTTGTCTATTATTGGCTATCGAATCTCTTGGATTGATTATAATAAATTTTTCTTTCAATAATCGAAGATAAAGATTCTGTAAATGTGAAGGAATAAATGTTAATGGGATTAAAACATCTTCATCATTGCGAAACAGTAAATATTCTGGTATATTATCCATAGCAACCGCTACTCTGTATTGTGTTTCGAACTCATCATTGTGTTCTAATGGCATGAAAAGTTTAGTAAAATGATGAATTAATGAGCAAGATTTTCGATCAGAATAAAATTGTACATCAGTCGTTAGAAGACCATTAAGAAATTGACCTTCTCTTCGTAGAGAATTAGGCAGACGTAATGTCACTCGTTTATCAGGTTTTGATACTCCTTCTAACAAAATTGATGTTGAGGATGATCGTAAGCGAGCTACACTACTTCTTAATGAATCTAATAAATCCAGAAAATGAATTCTTGCTGATTCAACATATTGAAATTTTTCGATACAATTTGAAACAAATTTTGTTGTTTCATTTTCCATAGTTTGATCATTTTCATCAGCAGTAAAATAGAATTGACGTAAAATCATTGAAATATATTTTAATCTATTCATAATCATACGTAAAAGAGAATTGGAGATCATTTTCATATTGTCTTGTATATATTCAATGTTATAAAAACATATAGTTGCAATACACAAATCAACTGCTTCTGAAGATTCATCATGATTTTCTATTCGCATTACGAAAGATTTTATACATTCTTGTTTTAATTTTTTTAAA